TGGAGGTAGAGGTATTAGAAGTACAGGTACAGGTACTATTCTGGTTTGTAGCAGAGATGCTTCAGTTTTATTTGATCCGAGATCTACGTACTCTATTACAGTTACTACTCTACTAACACTACCAATTAGGGGTGGAGGAAAAGCGGGTAGATGGCGCCTAAGAGGTGGAGACCCGACCCATTGATATATTTGCTATGGTATAGCTGAGGTCGCTACACCAGATAGTGTCGTTTCAAGTACGATCTTGAGTTATTATAAAGGAAAAATTTTCTTAACTTGATTCGGTTATGAGTATCGAGGCAAGTCCTCCTAATATGCTCTACTCATGAGTGAGCTTCGTAATCTTAAATTTACTTATGTGAATACTCCTGTCGGGAGATTATATGGAGATAGCTATGTTTGTCATTATGTGTTAGTCACTAAAAATAGTTGTGATTTGGGTTTTGATGTGATCTCAGAAAAATTGATTTAAATTGCAAATTTTATTCCCTATTGGTGTGAGGGTTCTTTATATGTTGTGATTTTGTTTAGCAGAAATTATTTAGAAGAAGAAAGAAAGGAAATGAAAAATTTCAGTTGGCACAATGTGCATATTACTTGTGTACGGAGTTGAGGATGAGATCCTCGTATTTTTATATGATGTGAAATATTCAAATCGGACTACAAGTTGCGGTGGATGTTATATAAGGACGAGGTCCTTGTGTGAAAAGTTTATGTGTTTTAATTCCCCCTTTGTGAAATTAAAATTTGTAATATAGTACTTGTACGGACACATGCTTATGAGGCTTATTTGAAAATTCTTGTATGAATATCTTTGTGCATAATTTGCCAAATTGTATTGTAACTATTGAGTTTTAGCCTACGAGGTGAGAGCGCATATGGCGTTAAATTGTGACTCGTCTAATTATAAGATCTTCATGCCTTGTTGTTAGTAAACTGGAGGTTTAAAACGAAATTTTATTAACATGAAGTTAATTGGCGATGTTGTAATCTATTATGAACAACCATTAAGACAAGAGATGTGATTATGGTCATACATATGATGCATTTTATGTCAAGTTATCATGGTGATAATGTAGTGCTTGTAATGTGGAGATCAGTGTTATTGATATATACTTTATGGTGCCTTGTTGGGTTGTGGACATGTTGTTAGGAGTTGTTTTGGTGTTACTCTGACAGGTGGATAGGCCCAATTATAGGGGAGACACTGCCGAAATTTCTGCAAAATTTGGGGGTTAGAAAAATTTGGGATATTGAGATGTGCAAAGAAAGAGATAAGTTACATTATGTGTTTGAGGACAGACTCTACTTCTCATTTGAGGACGAATGACCCGAAGTCGGGGAGAATATAATACCTCGTATTTGATGGGTGCATAGGCACGAGTTGCTATAGCTAGACGGGACTAATATCGTGTGTTGACGTGAAAAATCAGACCTTTCTAGAAATGATTGGAGTGTAAGAAATTTGGTCTCAAATTTTCCAAATATGAATAAAGGAAATAATCTCAATTAAAATGGTATTGTCGGACTTATGTCGAATGCGGTAATGTGGGATCAACCGCCAATAATTGTGTAAAAGTAAATCATCAATTTGGTAATATGAGAATAATTCTTAGTACGTTCGAGGACGAACGTTTGTTTTAGAGGTGGAGAATGTGATGACCCAAAATGTCATCTTTAATTTAAATAATTATCTCGGTATTATAAAACCTTTAAAAGCACTATCAATAAATCCTCGACTTGTGTGTGCAGTCCGTATAATTTTTCGGAAGGTTCTTATGTGAAAAATGGATTAAATTGTGAACTAGAGCTTTAAAACTCAACTGAGTTGACTTCGGTCAATATTTTGGGAAAACGAACCCGGATAAAAGTTTTGACCATTCCGGTAGTTCCGTATCTTGATTTGGGACTTGGTCATATGACCGAAATCGAATTTGGAGGTCCCTAGATCAAATTATCACCATTTAACGGAATCTAGAAATCTAAGGTTAAAGATTTCTCAAGTTTGACCGGAGATTTGACTTTTTGATATCGTGGTCGAAATCCAGTTTTGAAAATTTTCATAGCTTTGTTATGTCATTTATGGCTTGTGTGAAAAATTTGAAGTCAATCGGACTTGATTTGATAGGTTTTTGCATCGAATATAGAAGTTGAACGTTCTTAGTTTTATTAGGCTTGAATTGGGGTGTGATTCACGGTTTTAGCATTATTTAATGCGATTTGAGGTCTCGACTAAGTCCGTATCATGTTTTAGGACTTGTTGGTGTATTTTGTTGAAGTCCCGAGGGCCTCGAATGGATTTCGGAAGGTTAACAGATATAAAAAGGCTGCTGAATTTTCTTTTTGGACAGCTACTGATTTTTTTTTTACAACATGTGAACAGTACCCATGAACAGTACCCGTGAACAGTGTCCATAAACAGTACACGTGAACAGTGCTGGACAGAATGTTATGTTTTGAAAATGGGACGAACATTAGGGATAGGCGATTTTCAAGAGATTTTCAGAGAAAACAACGGGGTAAGTATTCTTAACTTAATTTTGGTTAGATTACCCGAATCTATTACTAGTTTTGGCATTTAATTGGTGATTTTAGTTGGAAAATTTTTGAAAACCCTCTTGGTTTAATTTGAAGATTTTAGGGTCGAGTTGATGTCGGATTTTGGTAAAATTGGTATGGTTGGACTCGTGGTTGGATGAGGTTTCATATTCCATGATTTTTGTTGGGGGTTCGTGACGTGTGCCCCACGGGCGAATTTTTAGTGCAATTTCGAATTTTTGATGGAAAATGTAGAATTTCATATCAGACTAATTCCTATAATTTTTATTGATTGAATTGAATTGTTTATGACTAGATTTGAGAATTTCGGGCACGAATTCGCGAGGCAAAGGCTTGTTGGAATTTTGAATTGGTTGCAAAGCGAAGTAAGTGTTTGATCTAACCTTAGCTTGAGGGATTAGGAGTTGTGTCTTATTTGCTACATGTTAATTGTAGAGTACGCCGTACATGCATGGTGACGAGTATCTATACGTTGGTGTCAAGCATGCCCGTGAGTCTTGTATTATAATTGTTATGACTCCGTTGTGGTTTATTGCGCTTCATATGTTATTATCACCATTGTTCCCTTGCCGGGATATTTGTTTTGATAGTATTGTTCCCTTGCGGGATGTTTGTTTTGATAGTATCGTTCCCTTGCCGGGATGTTGTTGAAATATCATTGTTCCCTTGCTGGGAAGTTGTTATATTGCTCTTGTTCCCTTGCCGGGATTCCTTGTGATTATTGTTGGCTTGTAACTGGGAGCGGGTGGTACGCCTACCACAAGATATAATGAAATGGGAGCGGGTGGTACGCCTACCACAAGATACATGAAATGGGAGCGGGTGGAATGCCTGCCACGAGATACAGGAAATGGGATCGGGTTGCACGCCTGAGACAAGATGTGAAAAGAAAGTGAAATCTGCCTTTGTTTTCCTTATTCTTGTTAGTGGTTGGATTTTGATTCCTTTATAATTCTCTTGATATTCCGTTTTTACCCTTTTTTTGTGTTCAATACTCCAAATTTCAATAATTGTTACATTTTTAACTCAATTGATTTCTCAACTAAATTTTCCTTAAACCGTTTGAGGTTGTACTTTACTTAAAAAGGAATGTCTACTATGTTTTGATTTATTGATTTCTCGTATTAAAGGTAATGATTCATTCGATATTGTACTTTAATTGAAAAGGGTATCTTCTTTATCAAATTATTTCTAAAAATAACTTCATCTTTTCTTATTGATTTCTTAATTGGGTTGGAATTTGTACTCTACTTTATGTTAAGTGAAATGAGGCGTCACAAGGTGACCTTTACTCGAAAGAATTATATTCGAAAAATGCTTATTTGAATGATATTTATTTGAAGGAAATATATTCGAAATATATTTATTGAAAAGCATATTATCTTAAGATTATTACTTGAAAGATTATAGGAGAAAAATTTATATTTGAAAGATTTGATTAATTGATTGCACTTATATTTATTATTTGTTGAGAAACATTTATGATATTCTTGTTGCCTCCTTTTTATATCATCGGTTGATCATTGTTGCCATCATTGTTATCTGCTTCCTATTATTTTTTTATGCTATATTGCACAGGTTTATTTGGTAGTCTGGTCCTAGCCTCGTCACTACTTCGCCGAGGTTAGGCTTGGCACTTACCAGCACAAGGGGTCGGTTGTGCTGATACTACACTCTGCACTCTTTTGTGCAGATCCCAGTGCTGTAGACTTCGGACCGCAGTGAGATTGTTGTATCTTGTTCATCAGGCGACCCGAGGTAGTCCTGCAGGCGTCCGCAGGTCTTGGCATCTCCTTCTATCTACTATTCCTGTTTCTTTCATGTATTTCCAGAGACAGTGCTGTATTTATTCTTTCAGATCTTTATTTGTAGTACTCCTAGACTGTCTGTGAAGTTGTGACACCATTCTTGGGTAGATTTGTTATGGATTGGTATTAGCAGTATTACTAAAACTTTACAATGCAGCCTTCCGCTTATTCAATTCTGTTGTTATCTAATTGTTGGCTCTTAACTGTTATCGGATTAAAAATGGAAACAAGGTAGATAGTTCAGTTGGTTGGCTTGCCTAGCTTTCACTAGTAGGCGCCATCACGACTCCCGAGGATGAAAAATTCGGGTCGTGACAATTGGAACATTTATCAATACCCTATTGCAACAGATATTGTAACATATTGGAATGGTTATTAAGGGTTGCTCTTATTATTTGCTAGGTCTATTGGAACGGTTATATTCTCTATTGCAACAAATTATAATTTCCAAAATTTATGGAAGCAAAATGAGAAATATTTTCCTATTCTATGAAATTGTTTACACCATATCCAACTAGCATTATCCATGTACAAAAACAAAATATGAATACATTGTTTGGTCAACAATTCAAAAGTCAAAATAGATGAGTTTGTATACAAAAAATTCTAAACTAAAATATCCTTGAACCTAATAATAGAAAGTCTAACAACGATCAACAACACTCAAGTAAGGTCTTCGTTACTGCTTTCATCCGCAATCACTACACCTACAAAAGATAACGAGAAATAATTAAACAAAATTTTTAGGATAATTGAGTCATAAAGTACTTAAAGCAGCTTCAAGCACAAATTCAGTTGATAAGCAATACAAGAAACATGGAGTCTCAAATGTTGATGCCTCCGGTACTGTCTACTCTAGGATTAATGCAACCACATATTCATTTGTAAATACGACTATGTAGAACCTACTACGACTGACAACTACTGAACCAAAACAACATTACCTAAACAATATTATGTCTGACAGCTATTGAACCAAAACAACAACAGAATATGCTATTACGAAAAACAACATTATAACCAACAACTGAACATACTACGGTTTAGGAACAAGCAAATTAGATCCATTTCCATAACTGTTGTTTGCAGAAGCAATATTGGTGGCTGCTACAAGGAACTAGAGAATGCAGAAAGCTGGCAAGTAATTGCTTGGAGCCATTGTATCTGATTTTGACTACTGGCAAGTAATTACTCGTTTATTTCGTAGCAAATTAAAAGAACAGTCCCATCTTCATTATGGATCACTCATGTTCTTCAGTACAAGTCATTCAGATATATATGACCGATTATTCTCATAACTTAATTGATCACTCAAGTCATATAGTTCATCCTTAAATAGCACAATCAATCTAGAAGCTAAGGACCTTTTCTTTTTTTAAGAAACACAAGTGGCTCATGAAGCAGGATAAATGATTCAACCAGCTAAATGGTCCGCCATCTCCAAACAAATTCTTAACAGTAGAAAATCAGCAACTTTTGCAAAATGAAGGAGGAAAACAAAGTTTTGTTGCTACTGTTGAAGTTTGGCAAAATGCCAAAGTCCCACATTGGTTGGGAGTTAAGTTTGGAGGGGATTTTTCCCCTATAAAAGAAGGCCTAATGTTTAGGATTGAGACACACCTCTCATTTGCCTTCTCATCTGTTTAAGGCATTTGTATCTTCTCTCTTTAGTATTATTTCACTTGTATTTTNGATAAATGATTCAACCAGCTAAATGGTCCGCCATCTCCAAAAAAATTCTTAACAGTAGAAAATCAGCAACTTTTGCAAAATGAAGGAGGAAAACAAAGTTTTGTGGCTACTGCTGGGCGAAAGGAAGTTGGTGATCGAGCAGATATGCAAGTGTTGGATTTAACTACTGATAATCAAGGAATATCAGTAGGTAATGCAGCAGGTCCATTGAAACTCAAACTCCCAGCTGTTGCTTTGAAGGCTAGTGCTGAAGCAGTTATTGTTGTTTCTGGGCAGAATTGTCAAGGAGGGGCAGGACATGTTCAAAATGGTGCAAATTTGGTTAAACACATAGGCAGTCCAGATGGGATTGTCAAGGTCCTAAAGCTGTTAATAGTGCAATCTATGATAAGGCATTAGCACTGTCAGGACATGTTATAGGAGCGGCAATAAAACCAACTGGTATAGGTGCAAATATGACGGTTACTGATGCACTAAAACCAACTAGGGATTGAGCTATTGCATCTGTGCAACCAATGGAGAAATCAGCAGGGCAGTCTAACTTTCAAGGTGAAGTTCATGATAAGAAAGAAAGATGAAGTTCATGCATGTAACTGAGTAGCCTTTTCATTCAAAAATCTGCCATCCCCNAAACAGTTCAAACATCTGTGAAATGAATGCTATCTATCCACTGTCATTCCAGCTAAGTTAAATCATATTCATATATAGTTCTTGGCATCAACAAGTATAATTCTAAACCGAATAAGCTAAAAAATAAGCAATATTAATACCTCGAATGAGTTGGCCTTCTTTGTTGCTATAAGTAGATGGACGACGGATTGGTTACAAAGTTGCTCACTGTGCAGAAGAAGCTTCTCCAGGAGAATTATCACCCAATGCCGCTAGAATAATATTAACATCAATATCAATTCCTGAACGCTGAAGTCGTGCAAGGACATCTGCAACAACTTCTTGACGAATAGTTGCCTTTTGTTCCTCAATCTTCTCCTCCATCCTTTGTATCTTCTCCTCCATTTTTTGTAGAGAATTTGTAGTATTTGAAGAAGATTCAAAACATCCTACTTTCCCTCTCAAAGAAGTTCTTGTAACCCTTCGTCCATATTGTTGCGGAAGTCAAATGTATATAGTGTGAATAAGTCACAACTACTATACCAAAAATTATGACAGCCACCAAATAATAAATAAGACAATAAAGCAATAATAAAGGGAACACCAGAATTTACGAGGTTCGACTAATTTTGCCTACTCCTCGGACACAGCCAATATTTTATTCCACTCCAAAAATACAAGTGAAATAATACTAAAGAGAGAAGATACAAATGCCTTAAACAGATGAGAAGGCAAATGAGAGGTGTGTTTAAATCCTAAACATTAAGCCTTCTTTTATAGGGGGAAACCCCCCCCCCCCCCAACTATTCATTTCCCACCGATGTGGGACAAACATTTCTGCCAACTACTTTAACACATATAATCTCAGACGTCCCGGATGTTCAGGCCCCATGACAGATGCAAATGCATCTACGGACTCATTGCCATTTTCATTTTGTTGGGTTTCAATTTCCACCATTTCAGCCTTCAAAGCAAATTCAAACAAATAGAACAAGTAAATAAAAAGTATACTAATAAAAACAAATAATTGATCTCGATATAACATCAGTTAAATATAATTCGCACAATTTTACTAGTTTTATCATCATCCGAGCACTTGTATGATCGCCCAGCTTTCCTTTTTCTTGTAGCTACAAAGACTTCCTTTGCCGATAAAGGACCCGAAGTTTCCTTCTCGTTTTCCTAGTTACATAGTTACATGAAAGTATGATCTACCATGTACTAAACAAGAGCAGAAATTGAGAAATTTTTTGCCATTATTTGTTAGTTACACACCAACTTAGAGCGTACTAAAGCAAAACAGTGTGAGGATTCTTCAACTTTTTCCGGTTCACAATATTAATTTGGGACATTCTCTGCCAGAAGAAAGAAACATCAAACAACTTACAAAATCACTAAGCAGATTCAAAAGTTAGGCTTGTAGCGAGTAGATTGCTCTCCACCTTTTACCACTAAAAGTTAGGCTTGTAGCCCAGAAGAGCCTTCGAGAGTTCAAAAGTTAGCAAAAGCTTGCAACTGGCAGCAGATTCATGCAGTAGCCAAAAGAGTTTCTAACTGCCCAGCAGATTCAAAAGTTTTGCTAGTTAAACAGTTTGCAACTGCCCAGCAGATTCATGCAGTAGCCAAAAGCGGGCAGGAATTAGCTATTAGAAACAGTTTGCTCTCCACCTTTTGCAACTGCCCAGCAGATTCTATACAGACTATTGGAATCAAGATGGCGGATATGCTGAATAGATCTATTCACTCATGCGTTAACATTTTCAATTAAGGTAAATTTGATCCCTCTTTAAATCTGTTTTTTTTTATTTTTTGATTGTAACACTCTTGCTCTTTTTTGTAAATATTGTAGGCTCAATCTTTATTTCTTCTAGAACTACGTAACATGGCCAGCTAAAATGATCGCATGCTGCTTCTTTATATCTATATCAGTGGAACAGATTATACGCAAGAAGATACACGATACACAGATACAAATAATTGAAAAATAAAACTGATTTTTCTAAAGTTAAATAGAATGATCAGCTGTTGCATATTCACTCAACGGCAGCACAGAAACTTGCTAAAAGAGATCATAATGGAAGAAAGAAAACTGAGCGCAAAAATTAATCAGTAATATAAGGACTGCAATTAATTGATAATTAAACAAACTCCTCACTGTATACTACTAGTTACTTTGGATTTTCATACACATGCATATCATACTGCAGATTATCAGGGACAAGAAATAAGTAGCAGAAACTGTTAACTCTAGTTTCTGTCTTCTTCGGCCATGATTAAAGCTAGACCTTCGCTAAAGGCCATCAGCACTAACATCGTAAGTTTTATTTGCAGTTTCAGTGCTCTATTTTCATAGATTACATAAATCTGTGTGGATACATACTAGAGGTTAAATCTATATTAATCAAGGAAGACCAACAAGAAGCTGAATAATTTTCTGCTCATAATTACTTTCAGTACGGACAAATGCAACTGTGAATGCTTTGTCCACTCTAGATTCTCCCATAGCTAGTCCTAAAACTGAGCTAAAGGCAATTAACAATAACATTAAAAATTTCTATATTTGCAGTTTTCTTTAGAGAAGGTATTATTTGTATTGATGGGGTGGAAATTCGAATTTTTGTATACAAGTCGGATACAAAAGTAGACAACTTACACAAAAATATCGTTCTCTACAAATAGCAAGTTATGGATGCTTAAGACCATAACTTTTCAATTTTATTCTTTCCCTTCCTAAATTTCTCTCTTTATCAATTTTGATCCTCCAAGTGATATATGGAATTGCATCGACATTTTCAAGTAACGTATTCTATCTTTAAACAGATTTAGTGCTGGTATCTTTGCTTATGCCACTTCCTAACCTAAGTAAATACAAGAAGAGACCCCAAGAAGAAAATACGTTTTTCAACTGAGTTTGTTAGCAGGGCATGGAATTTAGAAGAGGGACAACTTATTTACTCATCAGTTCAGCATATCTGCTTTTACGATATGTAGACGACCATAAGACAACACAACAATTACAGACCAGTGTTTCGGCGCTTTTTGGGCAGATTTTTTCTGGAAAAAAATCGCCAACATTTCGGCGCTTTTTGGAAGAAGAAGAAGAAGAAGTACATATACCTGGAGTTTCTCTGAGTTCCAATACCTAAGGAGTTCCTCAAACTGAGAAGCTGGAACATCTTCAGGGATATTTTGCAATCGAGCTTCATCATTGTGATAGGAGTCAAAGTGATGCTTTTTCAATCTACTCTTGTGCTTTCTCCGGGCAGCTTGCACTGATTCCAAAGTATATTTTTTTCCAGCTTCAGGAATATCATACTTATCCTAAAATTGATGTCAAATCTGTTAGTACAGAAGATATGAGATTTTCAACCAAAAATTGAAAATTAAGAAGTCCAGACATTGGTATATTCCATATATCCTCTTTTGTGTCCATCTTCCTCCAATCCATAATATCAAGAGGACATAGAGTCGCATTCCTTGCCAATGTGCCGAGGAAGCTTCCAAACTCTATCACAACTTTATCACTAAGACCAACGGGTTGATTTAACGTTGTTAATTAAAATCACTTTACGCTCCTGGCGTCCATGTACATTTTTCATCTTTGTTCTACATCTTTTTCTTGGTTGAATAGAAGGGCCTACAATTATATGAACAAAAAAAACACCAAATCAGTATTGTTGATACATTATATATGACTGCAATAGGATGTCAATATTTTCAGATAAAATCTATAAGTTCTTACCTTGTTCTTCAGATTGTTCATCTATAGTAGGAGTTGTAGAATCCAACTGAACTTGTTCCTCTACTTGTTCATTTATTACTTGTGTGGCAGGAGTGGTTGATCTAGTTTGTACATGAGCTGTCAATCCTGAATATTGTGGCAGTAGCAGATTCTCTTCAATGATATTCGGATGCTCTTTGTTTGATTGTTTAGCAGGAACATTATATTTTGCAGCAGTGGTTGATCTAGTTTGTACATGGGCTACTACTCCTGGATATTGTGGCAGATTCTCTTCAATAATATTCGAAAGATCTTTCTTTGATTGTCTAGCGGGAACACCATATTTTTGGCTAAACGAACTCCTTATTTGATTTGCCAAAGATGTCATTGTTCCAGGTTTTGCGTATGTCGCACTTGTCTTTCTTTGGGCTTTGAAGGTCTTTCTTGACTCATCTCTGTCAGAATCTGATGAAGAATACAAAAACAAATTATCTCTAATAGGTATTATATAAAAGACAACAGTAGGATTTAAAGGATCGGGCTATTACCTCCACAATAGACCTCTTCTTATAAGTTTCCTCTTTTGCTATTCACCTGCCAAAGATAAATAAGATAGAATACTTATGAGACTACACAGTAGATGTAGATTTAAATGGAGTTCAAATGCAAACGTCATACGCAAGAACAGAAAATTTAAAACAAAAGATGTCAATTATCATGACTTATTGTCCTAGATATGTAATATATTACTGAATTCTAAGTCTACTCAATCATTCAGTAATCAACCTCTGCTCTTTCTTTACCTTTCTATATTTATTGTAATGCTATAGTAGAAGTGGTAAATAGGATTTAATCTGCTGAACTTAAGTGCTTGAATATTATAAAAGGTTGAACGGAAACAAACTAAGCTTGAACTGAAACATATTAAAATAGCTCCATATATCAGACTAAAGTTTCAATTACTTGGCATATTACAAAAGCTTGAAACTGAAACAAACTAAAAAGTCCAAGAGCATATACAAGAACAAAAAATTGTTCGAAAGACGACAATGAAGTTTAAAAATACAAATAAAAATCAGAAGTTCCTTCTTCAGTCAACAGCCTCCATCCAATCCCAATCCGTATCATCTAACTCATCCTTCTCTTCGGATATTTCCACATCTGTATCTTGAGAATGGTGTGCATCAACTGGCATACAATAACATCAAGAGGTACATCTTCTCTCGACCATCTAATATCATTGTCGACCAATCTATTTGATGGACCGACGTCATCATTAGGCTCCCTCCAAAATGTTTCCCCAACATTAGTAATATTTTCTTCCTCCAAATCATACAAATCAACAGGGACTTTATTCCTTGCATAATAAACATCCTTCTCAATTGGATCTTCTACGTAAAAAATTTGATGCACTTGAGATGTCAATACAAAAGAGTCGTCAGTACTACATAATCGGTTAAAGTATACCCGAGTTAACCCATATTCATCAACTTCATTACGAAAACAATCACATCTAAACAATACGACACTAAAGCGGCCCCAATAATCAATCTCAATGATATCCTGAATAGCTCCATAGTACAGAACCTGTCCATCAATGGGATTTTGGTCCCTAGCACTAGCAAAACTATCTGTTGTTGCTGAAAAATTCACTCCACTATTTTATGTCTTCAACGGGGCATCCCGCGTCATTGTGTGAAATAAGTATCCATTGATAAAATATCCAGTATATCGTTTGGCCAATATATTAGGCCCTTTAGCTAGCCATTGCAAATGATTGGGCACGTCAATGCTTTTTACTTTCTTTTTAAACCAGTCAGCAAAGTTTCGACTATGATTT